CATCAGATTAGCCAAGTGTCTCACAGTTAATTGCCATTACAACATTGCTGTTATTGTGTACAATGTTCTCCTAGTTCTGTTTACTTCACTTTGCATCAGCTCATATAAGTCTTCCCAGGTTTTTCTAAAACCATCCTTTTCATCATTTCTTATAGCACAATACTATTGCATCACAATCATATTATTTATATATATATATATATATATATACACACACACACACACACACACACATATATATCACAAGTTGTTCAGCCATTCCCCAGTTGATGAGCATCCCCTCAGTTTCCAGTTGTTTGCTATCACAAAAAGAGTTGCTATAAATATTTTTGCACATTTGAGTCCTTTCTCTTTCTTTGATCTCTGTGTGAGCAGTGGCTATAATGCCACTATACTATAATACTATATGCACATAATGGTGCATTTTGTTCTGCAGTGACATCTACTAGCTTTAACAATACTGACTTTCATAGTTCAAGTAATGCTTTCAAAGGAGGGATTGTTGAGATGCATGAACCCACAGAAAATTACAAATGCAGATGAATTTGATTTTTTAAAAAAAGAAGTATAAAGTATCTGTTTATTTTCAAAATTAAAAATAGGAAAGATACAACTATATCATAAATCATTAAATAATATGTAAACTTCAGTTCTGAATGACTTCCATTTAACGAGAATGCTTCCCCAACAATCATATTCCAATGTCTTTTGTATGGAGGTGAACCTGGGTTCCTGAAGACTTTGTTATATTAACATCACATAGTCCTGAAGACTATGATCATGTGAAGAATAGTCTAACCAATTTCAGAGGGACTTGTCATTAGAAGCATGGGGTGGGAGGTGAGGAGGTGGGGAGGGTGGGGAGGACAGAAATACATCTCCTAAGAGTTAAATACTACATTAGTGGAAGGAGTCTCCTAAGATTCCTAAGGGTTACATTAGTGAGTGGAGGGAGTACCCATATTGAAACTATAGATCTTTTGAAGATTTTTAAAAATCGAGTGAAAGAGAAATAAAAGAGTAGAAAAAGGGTTAAATGGATAGACACATAGAGGGAGAGAGAGATAAGGAAAGAAGAGCAGAGGCATATGCATGTAGTGAAAAGATGTACTCTAGTGATAAATTTTCATAGTGCTATATTCTGACCTCAGCCTCTTGTTTGTGAAAGGCAAAGTTTTACAACTGTAGGCATAAATAGAGATGTGTTGACATTAACTCATGCTTCAGAGGTTTCTTAATTCTGTTGAAAAGAAATTGTCTCAGAACCAAGCTTGGAAAGAATAATAGTAAAAATGGCATTTGTGTATTCTTGTATTATTCACTCCCATTCTTCAGGAGATCGGTAGATCTGCCCTCTCAAAAGGAAAGATGCCACCTTAGGAGATAGTGAAAGAGCCACAAGTCTGTGAAACTTCTTGTTGCTTTCCAGAGTCATTAACATTATCCAGTCTAATGCTGTCCACAGCCTTCTCTTTCACTTCTAGTTTTCCTGTGATCTAAAGTAAAATACTATCTATGACTACTTAGCTCTAGCAAAGGCAAGTCCATCAGAGTTGAAAGCAGAGGGAAAGCTATAGTGAGCTCTTGGTGTGATTTGATAAGCACCCAAACAAATGAAGGGCAGAACATCTGCGTTTGTTTCTTTTACATGCAGGAACCAAAAATGTTTCTGGAAATTTGGTGAAATTTAGGCGTTTTGCAAAGAAATTTTGTCTTTATTGTGCCTAACAGTGCATTACATATACTAAAAAATGTTGAATTGATGAATCTATCTTTGGAGAAATTGTATAGATGTATGTCATATTCTATGCTTCCATTCTCCGATCACTCTTGCCCTTTCCTGTTGCTTAGGTGTAAGTCTGAAGATACATTTAAAGACAAGATAGCTTCTGAACCTAGTTTAAGTGATTATCAGATCATTTTTTTCAAGGGCCTTTACTTGTTTGTATATTCCTAGGCTTGAGTAAACATCACAGTTCCATAAATTTGTGTTGTATTCAGTTTTGTTTTAGATTTTCAGTAGCCTACTCTTAAGATGTGAAATTCCAATCTGGATTTAGAATTATAAGTAACATTTGGCTATTTTGGTAATTTAATACTTCAAGTATCTATAATTTAATTGGGGTTTGGTACTCCATTTGTTGTGAAACCTTTATAATGTTCTTTAACTGTTGCTCTGGCTAACACCTTGATGAGCTTCTCTGAACTTCATTGGTCTGGTCTTTGGACAAAAGATATATTATCCACAACTAGGTTTGTATCTGAAACTTTTACAGTTTAAGATCTGTCAGAAGGGGCAGCTAGGTGGCGCAGTGGATAGAGCACCGGCCCTGAAGTCAGGAAGACCTGAGTTCAAATCCGGCCTCAGACCAAACACTTGACATTTACTAGCTGTGTGACCCTGGGCAAGTCACTTAACCCCAATTGCCTAAAAAAAAAAAAAGATCGGTCAGAAATCAAGAGTCACCTCCATTCCACTATAAGGCATCAGAGTAAGATTTTGGAGGAAGACCCAGCAAACATGAAAGCAAAATAAATGTCCAGGGAGACTTCCTCTTACTTCTGACAAGTACTATTTTCTTAGAATTTGAAGAAATTAAGGCACAAGGCCTAAATATTTTCTCTGTTCTCTCCGTAGTCTATTGCAGATTTCTGGTAAACATTATTTTTTTACCCATATGTAGTCTAATAGTTTCTGCCCTAAATTTTGTTTACGTGTATGCTAATCTCATTCTTGTCACTACTAGTACGTTAACCTTTTAATAATCCTGTAACAATGTGTTTTGCCCAAGGAGTACCAAAGATACCCAGCATATAAAAGTAAGCATATACCAAAGAACTTTGGGCCAACTATGTCCCAAATTTTCCTATCAAACTTAAAATGGCCTAAGTTGTGCACAGCATAAAATAATTTGGGGGTATTGCCATGGCTTGAGAAGAAGGAGTTAGAAGTCGGGGTACTCCATTCCATGTAGAATTTAACTCCATAATAGCATATCAGTTTTTTCAGGTCTGAACAGATATTTAATGTTGTGAGACAGATGGCCTTTTCTTTTCCAAAAATTAAGTGTTACATATTTGATTCTTAAAATATCAGTTCACTACTAGTCTTTTGAGAACTCTACCCAAATAATTTTTGTAACTCTTAAGTGATAGAATAAGTTTTTCTTTGGCAATCTAAAGAAAAAGAGAAAAGCTATGCCTTTTTGTTTAGCTCTTCCCAGTTTGGATCTCTTCTAATTCATCATTAAAATGAGGAGGATGAAACATACAATTGCTAAGATCTGTTTCAACACTGAAATTCTATGATTGTTCTCTTCCCAAAACATTTTATTGCTTTGCATTTGTTTGCCAAAAATGTATTAAGAAATCTTTGTTGTAATGATTTTGGAAATTTTTAGCTATCCTTAGACCGCATCAAATTATTCCATTTTCATTTATTCAGTTTCTTTTCTGATTCAACATTGTATAGCTGGATTCACAGTCTGTACTTTGAATTGCTTACTCTTTAAAAAAAAGTAAACAACAAAACACCTTCCTAAACTTGCCTTCTAACATTTACTTTTGATTTTTTTTCTTATTACATTTTAACGATGAAGAAAAATGTATGTCGATATTATTGTTGACAAAAGTTAAATTTTGTCAGGGATTTTTTCTTATATCTGTCTTTATATCCATTAAAAAGCAGTCATTTGCAAAGTAGGTATTATTTTTAATATAATATTCGGTATTAAAGATAACTATTACGAAGGTAAAAAAATTTCTAAATTATAACTATGCATTAATAAATTAAAATCTGGCAAAACTTTTAGAACATATGTGTAATTATGTTCAGAATATGTTGGTAATTTTGATTTTCTGACTCTTTTAAGCCAAAGGTTACTTACCCAAGTTAGGCAAAAACATAAAAACAAACATTTTTAAATACCTTTCTGATTATTTAAAAGAAAATTAATGATAACATTTAGCTTTTGTATTTAATGCCACAATACTAATATTTCATATATTTTCTCTTAATTTCCTAAGTTTTTTAATAATCATGTTGAAAGTTAATAAGTTTTGCTAAAAATTGCATGTGCATGCTGTTTTGCTAGTTGATCATCTCTAAACAATAAAATATAGAATAATTATGTTACAGCACAAATATCTACATCCTGTTCAAAGGTAAGTAAACTAATTGACATAAAAAGGAAATCATTTTACAGTGATATGGAATGATTGTCACTTTTTGGTCATCTACTTTTTATGACATTCATGATTGGCTAATAGATTATGATGAAATTTATTATAAAATAATTTTTAAAATCATGATATATTTAAATGAGTGGAAAAATAAAGTATGTAAGATATTTGGTATTTACAATACAGACTCTCTGTAATGCTTAGATAACACCAGTGACTAGCAAGTCATGTTTCCCCTTCCATGGCATTTATTTTTGATTATGCAAATTAATTTTTATAGTTTTCATCTTATTTTACTATTTTCCATATTTGCTAATGAAAAACAAGTTGTTGACATAAGACCAAGAATGTTACTTAAATCCCCCAGTGAATTTTTATCTTGAATCCACATTCACTTGATACTGTTAGCTCCTCCAAGGAGTACCAAAGATACCCAGCATATAAAAGTAAGCATATACCA